AATAAGAGTTCACTAGTACTTAAAATGTAGTTTATATCATTAATCAAAAAATAAGAGTACTAACCAAACATAGAAAAAATTACAAGAAATCTTATTTTCATTAAACACATGAAAGAAAGAAAATACAAGAGAGTGATAACACCCTAAATGATCAAAGTATCTCCTCTACACTCCTCCCTTTCACTTATAATGTTGCTTAAAGAAACACAAGTTAAACATTCCAAATGATTATATCTTATACTTCCCTAGCCTCTCTTAGATCTCACTCTGAGAGGGAACTAAAGATTACTCTAAAAAGTACTAAATTACACAAGTGACTGAACTCCCCATTCAAATAAAATATCACAACTATATACAAAAAAAACTTAAAAGGCTTCCAACTCAGTGCCTCTTGGAAGATTGGCGTTGTCGTGCCCTTGAGCAAATTGCCTCCTTAGTGTTGGAACTTTTGCACTATCACAACGCTCACTGATGTAGATCGATTACTTAGTGAATAGTTGCATCTCTTCATTGATAGAATGTAGCCCTTAAAAAATAAACTAACACGCTGCAATGCTATAAACATTTGAGTATTGTGGTGTTTGAGTGACAAAAAATGGCTACAAGGCGTGAGAAATTACGGAACCACAATATTTGAAAATAGAGAATCTGACATAACCAAGCTAACTTTTTGACGCTACAACATTGATAATATTGTGTTGCTGGCTGTGTTGCTGCTACATCATTTATAAATAAATAACCAGACATCACAATATTTGAATTGGAGCTCTTCGATGGTATTGAAGGCAGTGCTACAACATGATTTTGTCAGACACTACGACCCCACAAGCTTCTTATAATTTCTACCATTTTTAATTTTTCTTTACAAAAATAACTAAAATAATATATTCTCATTGAAAATAAATATATAAAATAATAAATAGTTTACACTTATCAAATTCTTCCAAAATTAAACTTTTGCTTATCCTCAAGCACATAAAAAAAATCTATATTTATAATTACTCAAATAACTAAAGTAAAAAAAAAATAATTTAAACAACTTAAGTACATGATAGTATATCACTGTTTAGAACTAGTGAAAATGAACAAAGTAATAATTCTAATTTATAAAATTATTAATAATTATCCTAAATAGTCATCCTCATTATTGCTTAATTTGAATATACATATTATGAAAACTTAAAGATTGGATGGGTTTGTCGATAAAACTGAAATTTCATAAGTTCACTAGCATTTGTAGTAGTTCTCCTATCTTCTCCTTTGTGAATTTAAGTATATGATTGTAGTTAGACTCTAAGCTTTTATTGGATATCAATTTTTGAATTTACTCACTTTCTTTTTCTTCATTTCATTTATTGTCTTTTTATAACTCCACTAACTTCTCATTTCCTTTTTTTATTTTTATGGAGTACATTGCTAAAGATTTTAAATATCAATTTTGCTTAAATTTATCATTCAATCTTAATTAGTTTAATGTAAGGATTTAATAAGATTGTTAATTCTAAATTCTGGTTAGTATGATTTTTAATTTTATTCTAATCACATCTATTTTTTAAACTTAATCATTCATCTTCAATACAAAGAGCTTATGTATAAATGAATAACTTATAAATTCAAGTTAGGTTAATAAATTAAATAATATAAGTTAATCTAATTATTATTTTTCCAATCTATGAATTATAAAGCAATGTTCATTTGAATTCTAATCTAGGATTTTGTTGTTATCCTAAATTTATATAACTTCCAATTTTCATTTTTATTAGGTTAATTAAATAATAAATATGTTGAGATACAAATGATAGAAAATATAAATATTTAAGTAAAAGGGGAATTTAATCAAATGTAAATAAAAACATGATTGAATATTAGTAAAAAAAAAAAAACATATGTTTTCATATGAATGATAGAAAATTATAAAACATGTTATATATATAAAATAAAATACAAAGTACAAAATAACTAGTGCTTAAGGCACCACCCTAACTTTCATAATGCAGTAGCTCTAATACCCATAACTCCAATCATGCTAACACACTAATAACATTCCAACATATCACTAGGATCCTCCCAAGCAAAGAAATGAAAAAGAAATAAAATAAAACATGTTGCATAACAAAAGTAATATACAATATATATCTATTACTCCTCAAGAAAAAAATAATTTCTAACTAGCTTAGTATTTGTATTCCTCCTCATCATCATCATTACTATAGTCGTGGCCTCTCTTACCAGGAAGCCAAATAAAAGGATCATAAAATAGTGTAGATGGAAATTAAAGTTAATCAGGATGCTCCATAAAAAGATTAATTCTAAGCATTCCAGGAAGAGCATTATTGAAGTCAACAGTGTATCTATAATGTTTTTCTTGATGGTCCATGCTGCGGGCCATCCTTATATTCATCTCCAATAGCCAATCATTGGTTTCTTCATAAAAGTGCACCACCATTTCCATCTCCCTTCTCAAATCAACAACATTAACTCCCAAAGTTTTAGGAGTTCTAGTACTCCTACTGTTGCTACTACTATTAGGCCTCCCAGACACTCTAGGCTCACTAAGGTCTCCTTTTTCCTCTTCTTTCTTAGATTGCTTAAAGACCAACTTTTTTCTTTTTTTTGTAATGATTGTAATGAGAAATAATTTTTTCTTTAGTTTACTCCACCTTACACCAGCTATAACATATAAAGCATAAACTAGAGAAGGCTACCCTAACCCAACAGAAGTGGCACCCCTAATGATGTGTATAAGAGAAGAGAAAATATGCTTCCCTATATCAATGGGTACCCCATTTGAATAGTATAGTTTAATAGAGCACTGTTACGAGTAACTTCGCTAAAATTCCTACTTGGTATTAATCATGCTAAAATGAAATAGTGCAAGACTTTAGTGGTTTGGGTCAAGTAGGTGGTAGAGAAATTGATAATTTTGTTCTCTCTTTTTCAAACTCACTTTGTTATTAGGTCCATAAAGAATATTTAGGATACCTTGAGGATCTATAGGTTTCCCAATAAAAGTTGTTTTTTCATTAAATTAAAAAACCCAAAGTTAGTAAATTTTGTTTATTATCACAGAATTTAGAGGGACCCACTTACCCCTATTATAGTATTTATTATCTACTTACTCCTTTCTATCAATAAAAAAATTCTCTATCCACATTTATAATGGTAGCAAAGGGTTCTTCACAAAAATGTTCCCAACCCCTACTCATAATTGTCTGCATAATTAGTTGCTTGGATTCTGAAAACCTTACTTTGGAATTAGTAATTTTGTCACAATTAAATCAGCAAACCTGGATTATGCATAAAAAAATGAATTTTCATTTATTAATGGAAGAGGAAGCACTCTTCTTTCAATACATTTTAGGGCTCACCAAGCTTGAGAGGACTGAAAAGGAGAAGAGTTTGAAATAATTGATATGTTATGAATGAAGTGAAATGAAAAACATAGCACCTCTTTTTATAAGTCAACAAAGCACTGCAGTGCTGCAAGAAATGGTGCCACAATGTTCTGTGTATGAAAAAATATGACAAACCAATCAAACTAATAGGCGCTATAGTGGTTCAAGCCAAGTGGTGCAGCAGCTTTAGTTTTGGGAACTTGTAGCATCTCTTTGGAATTACCTACCGATGTTACTTTTGATACCTATAAGAGAAATAATGCTTATATCTATAACTGCTACTATGTTTTTAATAAAATAATAATGATCATGTAATGCCAATAAGATGCCAGTTATCAACACTACGAGGCTTACCAAAGTTCATAATTAAAGTTATGACTGTAAAACATTTTTTGACTTGTTAGAACCACGCTTTTGTTTGACTTAAATGACTAGTTGCTGCGGATCTCAAACAATTAGAACTAAGATGCTTAATTAACTAAGAAGATTTTGGTTAGAGATGAGGTTTTTTTGAGGTTTAGTGTTGCAGCGCTTATTTTTAAAGTTAAGGTTCTTGGAAGCTTAACACTATGACATTATATCATTTAGCACTGCAATGCTTAATTAAATTTATGCTCATATCTTATTTATTAAATCTAGATCATTACTTTATTTATTAGAATAAAATGAAAATTATTTTAAAAACAAGAACATATGTAACATGACTCATGTAAATTCAAAATAACATGACACAAAATTTAAATTTAGGTTGCCTCCCATACAACACAAAGTTTATAATCTTCAACTAAACCTTCCTAGATTTATCAATTTGGCTGGGGTCCATTACTACCACTCTTTAAATAATTATCACTTGGATCTTTTTCTTTTTTCCTTTGGGTTAACTTTAGTATTGTTCAGCAATGATCCAAGAATTCTACTATTAACTAAAATTCAAAGCTGACTTAATTGGGTTTCTAAATTTTTAATATAAGTAGCTTGATTTTGTAATTGAGTTCCTAAATGTATCACTACATCTTCCAATGGTTATTTTCTACTTCCAAATTGATTGTTTTAGTTAAATATAGAATTATATTTGGGTTTAGGATTATAGCATGTTGTTGAGGATTGTTCCAATCTACTCGATTATTTGACTAGAATTCTATTAATTATTACCAACATCTTTATTTGACCAATTAGAATTAGAATGGATCCTTCAACATAAAGTATATGTATTAACATAGGGATTATTTTGTCTTCCAATCAAATAAATATTTTTAATATCCTGCACATTACTATTTTCAATTAAATTTTAATCCTCCAATTGCATAGATGATTTAGTTCCTAATCCAAAATTCACTTATATATTGTGATCAATTTCTTAGAATTTCTTGCAACTTATGTAGATAATAATAACAAAGCATTAGATAAAAAAAATGTAAGCTACTCTCTAAGGGTTTATCTTATCAACACACCATTGGAAATTATTAGTAGCCATTTCCTCTATTAATTCATATACTTCCTCAATTGGCTTATACATTAACGATCATCTTGTTGTTGCCTCTATGATTGCTCTAAGAGATCCTAAAAATCCATTATAAAATGTTTGAATAACTAGCCAACTAGGTTAAATATGGTGAGAGTATTTCCTAAGAATTTCCTTAAATCTCTCCCAACTATCATAAATGGTTTCTCCTTCAAACTGGATAAAAAAAAGTGATATCATTTTTATGTTTAGCAGTCTTTGAAGCTAGAAAATATTTAGCAAGAAACTTATGAGCTAACTCATCACAAGTGGTTAAAGAGACTAGGGGTAATGAATTAAACCACATCTTATCTTTAACACTTATAAAAAATGGGAACATTCTTAATCTAATAACATCTTCACTAATACCATTATACTTAAATATCACACAAATTTTTATGAAACTGGCCAAGTGTAAATTGAGATCTTCAACTGGAGTTCCTCCAAATTGGGAATTTTGAACCATTTGAACTATGACATTTTTCAATTCAAAATTATTATCTTAGATCGTAGGTCTATTTTTAGTCTTATGAATTTCATCTACTAAAGGGATATCATAATATCTAAGAGGTCCAGAATGATCTTGATCTAATATAGGTTCATTCATTTTTACTCTATTTTTTATTTTTCAAATTTTTGAAAGGTTTCATTCTATTGTAGAGTCAAATAATAAAGATTCATTTCTTTTTCTATAAAGCATGCAACCATGAATATGTAATCAACAAGTAAAAAAATAAAATAAAAGATACAATAGGTCTAATTATGCAATTAACTCAATAATTTAATTATAATTTTAAAAAGTAAAATACTTCCCTAAAAATGGTGCCAAAAATATAATGTGTAGGCTATTGATTGAAATTCTGTATTATATAAAAATATAGGGCTCTATCACCCATAAATAATGCTTAAGTTTTTTTTGATATAATAATAACAAGCCATAGTTAATATACTTAAGTATACATGTTGAATCAAGCGATAAAGTGATAGACTTGACTGTTGAACTCACGAGGAAGTATGCTTACTTGCAATAAACTACTATTGTTTACTCTAATTGTAATAATTATCCTACTAAAATAATATTGTTATTTTTGAAGATTTTGTTAGTGAATAAAATAATTAAAACATTGGATATAATACTTAATAAAGTGTTTTAGATCGATTAATAAAACTTTCATATCTTTCCTAATTAAACTCTTAATTATAGATGTGTTTCAAAGCATATGCATCCCTAGATCTCTATCGAACTTATAAGGGTAAAAATGATATCTACTAACCTCCTACAGTTATAGTATCGCCTTAAGAACTAAGAAGATTTTACATCTTATGTTTAGGCATGCAAATATCCTATCTCAATATTCGTAGTTATTTTTGTATTCCTCTATCGAGGCTATGCATCACACAATATTTTATGTACACATATATACACTATGTGAATTAAATAAAGAACAAAATAATATTGAAAATAATTTTTAATAATTATAAAAAAAAAAGTTTTCACTATTACTCAACATGCACTTTACATCATTAATTCAAAATAAGAGAACTAGACAGATAAATAATAAATAATAAGTAAACTCATTTTATTAAACTCATGAAAGAAAGAAAATAGAAGAGTGATTTCACCAGAAAGGATCAAATTATTTCCTTTACACTACTCCCTTTCACTTTTAGAGTTGGTTCAATAAAAAGGCAAAACACTCCAAATGATTGTATCTTGTACTTCCTTAGCCTCCCTTATATCTTACTCTAAGAGGGAACTAAAGAAGTACTATAAAAAGTATTAAATTTACACAAGTTACTGAACACCCCTACAAATATAACATTACAACTACTAATAGGAAAATAAAAAAAAATTCATCTTCTATTATGGTGCTTAGAAGATTGGCACCGTAGCTCCCTCAAAGTGAATTAACACCTTCGCGCTAGAACTTCTACAACACTATGGTCCTTGCTGATGTGGATCGATTACTTAGTGAATAGTTGCATCTCTTCATTAATATTATATGGCCCTTAGAAGTTCCAACTATAACGCTGCAGCACTGTTAATATTCAAGCACTATGGCACTCAAGTGGAAAAAAGGTACCAATGAATGAGAAATTATAGTTCCATAGCATTTGAAATAGAGAATTCAACACTGCCATGCTAACATTTTTATGTTATGGAGTTGATAATGCAGTGACACTGGCTGTGTTGATGCTGTAACATTTACCAATAGAGAACTCGATGCTGCAATGTTAGAATTAGGGCGCCTCGATGGTATTGAAGGCAGCAATGTGGCATGGTTTCATCGAATTTTGTGGCACTCTATTTTTCTTAGAATTTCTACCATTTTAAGTTTTTATTGCATAAAAAAACTAAAATAATGTATTTTCATTAAAATTAAAACCCATAAATAGTACGTAATTTACACTTATCACCAAGCTCCACCTAATAGGCTTGGATTTTTACTCATATATAGCATAAATTTAAATATAATTGATTATTTTAATCTTAAAATCTTTTGGGACTTGAATCTTTTATAGAATTCCAAAAGAAATGTCTCTCAAAGGAAGAGAAAACATTTCCTTTTGAAGCTCATTAAGTGTTTTTAAGCTATCACCTTAAAATCCTTTATAACTATTTACACTTTACAACTAAATCAAAATATATGAGATCTAAACTTTACATTTATATTTATAATTTATACTTAACATTGCTCTTAGAAACAGTCTTCTTTATACTAAAATGATACTAAAATGTAAGTTGTACTACATGTAAAGTAAATGTGTAATACCAATATCTATCAATGTAATGAATGCATATATGAAATTTAGAGTATAGAAAGTAAATACATAAGCTTGGTAGATAACCTCCAAGTAAGGCATCTCAAATAATCAACCAAAACAGACCATCGACCAAGCCTATGCTAGAGTTGGTTGTCCTAACAAACCATCTAAAGTGTGTATCAAAGCTGTGTGGCGTGGATTTATCTTAAGTTTGTTTTATTAAAAGTTTTCTATCATTTATCTTATTTGTTTAAGATTAAAGCGTACTTAATTTAAATTTATGTTTTTATATTTTTATATTTAATTATTGAGTTTTTATAATATTTTTTATTTAAGTGATTTAATTTTAAATTTTAAAGAACCATGTTAGTTAATGAGTCCAAAGTGCTTGAAGTCACTAATCTCCAACTCCTAAGGCTTGTTATTATAACACATTTGCTCCCCTCCAAAGAGATAAAATAATTACGTAGAGTCCTTTCAATTTTATCAACTTTTTATTTAATGATTCATTTTATTTTAAAGAACCTTGTTAAATAATAATTCAAGTAACTTTGAAGTTTTCAATTGAGAAAGACTTAGGCTTTCCAAATCAAATGCATCTACTCCCTCTTAAGAGATAAAGCCAACATATAAAGCTTTGATTTATTAACATTATTTATTTAAATTCATCCATTTATTTGATTTGTTTAATTTATTTTATTTGCTTAAGTTGAATTTGATTTATTATTTAAATTTATTTGCTTTATAATCAATTTATTTTCATTTACGAGTCTCTATTTTTTATTTATTTTATTTAATATTTTATTCCTTTTATTTATTAAATTTAGATTTATTTAATTGATTAATTGCCTGATTTATTTATTTCATTTTTGTTTTGATTTATTATTTATCATTTATTTTATTTATTCTTTTACTTTATTGCTTATATTGACCAAAATTTAACAATAATTTATTATTTTAAAGTTTTAGAGGTTTAATATTTTTAATAAATTTTAAGTTTTATTTAAAGTTGAATGCAATATATTTTGTATTTTTAAGATTTTTGTTTATTTTGTTATGATTTTTATAAAATGAACACATCTTCATATAAACCTTCAATCTAATGGTTAGATGCACCTAGATTGAAGGTTTCATTCACACTTGAGTGAAACCTGAGGATGAAGAGCACACATTTAGATTGCACCTCAAAATCATGATGAATTGTGATAAATCTTGATTGATATGATTTTTTTTGACCCCAAGGAGCAGTTCTTCTTTAGGTTATAGAGTCTAAATCTCATCGGATCAAAAATTTGGTTTTGTTCATGTCTTGATCATCAGAGCTCACTCAAAGTCACCAGAGATGATGACTGGATAAATTGGGGAGTTTGGGAATGAAAGATAGGAGGCTAGGGAGAATTTTTAAAGAAAACTCGATAACCTTGTAATAGAAAGTTCTAGAGTATTTATAGTATTTAGCAAACTGAATGTAACCTTAATTCAAGCTAGGTTCAACAACATTAAGTAGTAAAGATTGGCCAATAGGCTCAAAGTAAATCACCTACAAAGTTAGAGACCATATGATAAGTTATTGAGGGAGATAGGACTAAATCAGGCCAGGTGTATGGCTATTTCTTTGTCTTTCAGACACCTCAACCACCACCTACCTTAAAATTATTTTTTCAAGTGTCTGGAAGGTGTTGGAAGTAAATGTAAGTATTTTTTTGGGTTGCATTGCGCTTAATATGGCTCACTTATTTAAATTTTTTATACTTTGGGTCAACCCAATTAGTTAACCCAAGTAACCATAGAGGCTGGGCTGGCTATGGTTGATGCATTGAGTTCATGAGCTCCTAATTGGAATGGTTTGACTTAAGTTAGGAAATGTATTAAGGGATACACCTTTTGGATACTTTGGTTAGCCCAATGGGCCTGAGGGTTTGGCCACCTATGACTAAACCTTGGAGACCCAATTGACATTCCCAAAGGTATAGTGTGCCTTAATTTAATATAGATCATTATGATTAAAATATAGTAGGTTTAGGGTTGGTTTGGTCAACCAAGATTGAACATTCTTTGGGGTTAGGTTTAATTCACTTCAAATGTGATTTAGGCTTTCTAAGAAGTGGTTTTGGGTCATGGAAAGGTCATACTTTGTTAAAACGTTTTAATAAAGTTGAACTTAGGGTTTTATAGTTTAATGGTTTCTTAATCAACCATTTTACTTAGGGTTTTTATCCAATTAAAAATTTCCCTAGGAAAGAGAAAAGTCCAAAAAGCTTGAGGGTTTAGATTTGAACTTGATTTTATAGACTGAGCTATATAATAAATTTTTATTAAAGGATTGAAAGTGGTTGAGTATTTAGGTTTATTAATAAATTTAGAAGGGTTTAAATTTAAATTTTTATGTTTTATTGAATATAAATAACTGAATGATTGAACATCCTTATATGACTAAGAGATTAA